ATTGGGAGGTTGATTTTTTAATTTTTTACGTATATGATTTTATGATGACCAGACTTTATTTTGTTTGATGTTGAGTTGGATATAATCTTTATTACATTTTGATTACTTGTTCTATGTTTTTAACCCTGTTGTAAACCACTTGAAACCTCAAAAGTAGGCACCTAAATTTATATAAGTTACTTTCTTTTACAGTAGTACCTCTCAAATGTCAACACAGATTACTGTTACTTTTCTCTATTTTAACAATCTACTGGAATAGTAATTTTCAATGGGATTTGGCAGATTAGGGTACATTCAAGAAAGATTTCTTGTACATTTTTTTCTTCTAAAGGCTACTAGGTGACTTTACTTAACAGAAGGAATAAAGCACAACAGTCTTCCAAAGAGATGAGATTCTGTGGCATCAATGCATAATAATTAATAGCTGAAAGAGGAAATATTCATATCAATGAATTAGGATTGCTTTAACAGGAAAGTATGAAAACCACCTCATATTTCTACTGTCTGACATGATGTCTGTGAAAACTGTTCTTTTCTTCTGTATGAGGAACAAAGTAGCTTTGGTAGTATGCACATAAAATATATAAGTAGACAGCTTTAAACTAAGTAGGCCCACGAGGTATACAGATCATCCTGAAGAAAGGTGATAATTAGAAAGTATCACCAAGCAAGAATTTAATTTATACTCTGTGGAAACCTTTATAGTCTTGGAGAAGGTTTAATGTATTATGGCCTTTGGGATTTAACAAAGCAGAAAAATGACTTCTGCTGATCAAATTATAAGCTGGAGTGAGACTGCAAAATTACTAGACTTGGTCAGTGGTGGGATTCAGCCAGTTCCCACCACTTTGGCAGAACTGGTAGCTAATTTTTTGTTGCCCAGGCCCGGAATGGATTTCCGGGAGCGGCATCCACACAGAGAACAGGTTGTTCACATATTTGAATCCCACCACTGGACTCGATCAGTTTTATGCATATTTCCAACACATTTGTAGACTTCTGAAAAATAAAAAAAAAGCTTACAGAAAGCTTACAGTAGATGTTAGACTTATATGCACTACTTTTTCCAAGTTTTTTTTTAATTTGTAATTTCAATATTCACTCAAATCCTTTATTAGGCCAAACTGCAAAAAAAAATATGTGCAAATTACAGTAAAATCACCTGAATTTACACTTTTAAAAACTACCAGGCAACTTTTAACACAGAATTAACAAATGAGCTTGCAAAGAGCAGCAATGATATAATAAAGAAAAAAAGCTGCTAGTTTGTTTATTTTTATTTTATTTAGAAAATTTATATTGCCGCCTACTCGCACATGGCGACTCAAGGTGGCTTACAGGACATAACAACACAATATAAAAGAAATAAAAAATAAAAAATAATAAAATAATAACCCCCCACCCCAGCAACAACACACATTCATACCAGGCATTTAATGGGCTCCATCCTGCTCTGGGCTCCCCAGGCCTGCTGGCAGAACCACGTCTTCGGGGCCTTCCGAAAGAGTGTTAGAGTGGGGGCCAGTCTAATTTCCAGAGGGGTTATGTTCCAGAGGGAGGGAGCCACCACGGAGAAGGCCCTTCTTCTGGGTCCTGCCAGATGTATCTCCTTAGGGGACGGGACACGCAACATTTCTTGCCTCCCCGGTCTAGTGGGTCGGGTAGATGTGACTGGCAAAAGACGGTCCTTCAGATAACCTGGTCCCAAGCCATGAAGGGCTTTAAAGGAGACAACCAGCACCTTGAATTGCACCTGGAAGCAAACTGGCAACCAATGCAGCTCCCACAGGAGAGGTGATACATGTGCACACTGAGGTCTGCACAAAACCATGTGGGCTGCTGCATTTTGCACCAACTGGAGCTTCTGGGTGCTTTTCAAAGGCAGCAGAGTTTAGTCCCAGCATCAGCTGAAACAAGCAAACTACAGAGCTAAAGCTACCAGACAATACTCAAGTTTGTTATTTAGGACAAGAGGTAGCTTCTCAGTAGGGATATGCAAAATGTTCCATCCGTTAACAGTTTCATGCATGGAACAGCTTGAGTGGTCCTAACACTCCTATTTTTGGTATTTTGGACTGTGAATATGACAAAATTGGGCTATTTTGTGTTGGGGATTTGACAAGGACTACAGGGAAGCAAGGAGAGAAGGTTTGTGGAAGTTTGGAGGGAGCTGACTGGCTAGTAGGATATCAATAATGGCAGCTGTAGAAAGAAAATGTAATGTTATTGTCCTTGGGAGATTGGGGAGGGGGGTTGCTGCCAAGGGAACGGTCAGATAAGAGAGAGCATAGTCCACAGCTGCATAATGGGCAGAGAAATAGGCTCAGAAGTGACACCCCTAAGTTCTCAGGCTGTAAAGGAGATGGTGGGAGATTTGTACTTTCAGACTTGCAAGATTCTGTTAATGTAAACTTACAATAAAGTAGAATTGGCTCATCTGGTTGTGTTTCCCGGAATGGGATGTTTAGGCATCCACCATTGGCCGTGCCCCTTTCGCCCCCAGCCACCCACCTCAGCCGATTTACAGCCAGCTTTCCTCCTCCACTGGCCCTCTCCTGGACATTCTCCATGGCCAATGGCCCCCTGGCCCTGGCCCTTCGTCCCTGCCGATTCGCCCAGACACCGTTTGACCTGGGCCTTTGGCTGCACGGGACAAGAAGCCGCCAGCCAATGGAGGCAGGTGGCAGAGAGCAATCGGCAGCAGGCTGTGGGGTGGGGGCTGTCAGGAGGGTGAGCCAGGCAATTGGCAGGGGTGGTGTGCAGAAGCGATCTGGGGGGGCGTGGGGGGGTTCACCAGGCAACTGGTGGCGGTCGCATGCAGAAGGGATTGCGGGTGGAGGGCCATCGAGGGGTGCGACAGGCTACTAGTGCCCGTGGCAATTGCGGGTGGGGGAACAGTGAGGGGGTGCGCCAGGTAACGGGTGGCGGTGGCGGCGGTGTGCAGAAGCAATTGCGGGTGGAGAAGTTGGAAGCTTTAGATTCAGCTCTGGTCTTGTGGGAAACCCTGCGCAATGGGTCCTTTCGCAGAGGTATAAAATCCGGATGGCGGGGACAGGACAGGACAAAGAGGTGCCTTGCCCTACGGTAGCTCTTCACTCCAAGATCAACTGGGAAGACTGAAATCTTGCAAATCTGAAAGTACAAATCTGCCATCTCCTTTACGGCCTCAGAGGTGGCAGGGGAGGGTAGGTCCATTATGTAGCTGCAGGCTATGCCCTCTCTCTTTTTTTTTTTTTTACTCCTCACATGTAACAATTTATTTTTATTTTAAAGACAAGAAAATGCTTTAGGCTTCCAAGATTTTCAGTAGACACCAGGTTTGCTTGCTTAGCCCATCTACATTATTCCCAAGCAGTTAACATGGAACTTACTTGCTCAAGGAGATTTGAGTGGGCTACAAGTTTTTTCCTCCAAATCTCTGAAAGAACAAAACCTACCTGGTATTTTTTTTTAAAATCAAGTACACATATTTCTATAGTCTGGTGTCCATTGGAAGTAGGGAACTACAATCATCTGATCCCGAACTCCCTGGAGGACTCTTGGTTGGAGAAGGCTATTCTAAGCCATCTGATTCACTCTGGACCATTCTGGCAGTCCTTGAAAAACATACTGTTTTCCCCGCTGGGATTAACACTTTCTAGCTTCTCACAGCAGCAGCAGCAACACCACTATAGGGTGAGAGACCACCAGACTCTCACTATTCCAGCTACAAAATGCTGCTGAATTTCTCTAAACAGCACATTAGCTACTATCACCATGAAATCACAGCCTGGCTTTGAACATAGCAGGTCCATACTTTGAATAACACAACAATTTTATTCCTAGACTAAGATCTCCAAGCTTCTTTAAGCCTCTGTAAGAGTTGCCTGCCTGGATCAAAGCAAGGCTCCATTGTTTCCAAAACTGGCTAGCAAATGCCTCTAACTATGGAGGTTCTCAATGGCTTGTCTTAGCTACACTTGCTTTTTCTGTTTTGCAAATTTTATTAATTTTCAAATGAACATAAACAAATACAAATGTGGTGCATTTCATTAAAAAAAACAAAAAAGAAAACCTAGTCAATATATTTTCAGAAATGATCGGCGGTCCCCCCCCGCATCCCCCCTCACTCCTTCAACCTTCCTACCTTCCCTCTTCCTTTCTCCCCTCCTATCCACACCTCTCTCCTCCTTCCTCCTTTCCAACTATCCTACACATCCCATCACCTTCTTTTCCACATCCTTCGGATGCAGTTTAGGGGTACTAGCCAATCATCTCCTCTTCTCAAAAAGGGAAAAACCATTACATTATTTATCTATAACATATAAATACACCAAATTTTATATAATTCTACCCCTTCATCCCCTTCCCCCCTCCCCCCCCCGGACTTCCCAGAACTGAGTACAGGGATAATCACATAGCATCCCAAATCTAAATAAAACTACCCAAACATAATACAAACAAATATTAACATACTTTAACTCTAATATAGGCTATGCCCTCTCTTATCTGTTTCCTAGGCAGCATCTCTTCTCACCCACCCACCCCAGTCTGCCAAGGTCATATCCCAAGGTCATTACCACATACCATTACAGAAAAGAGGAAAGATTCTGAGATGATTGTGGTGAGGAACAGCCTAGCCAGCCAAAACACAAACCTAATTTGAGTTAATTAATTACATTTAAATAGAATCAAAATTATACATTAAGTATAGTTAATATGATTTCCTGTATAGTTTACAAAATTCTCCTTCTCAGTTTAGAAATTAAAACACTGACAATTTTTGTAAGCGCTCTGAGCTCACACTCAAGGCTTTTGAAGACTGCATGTAGTCCTTTGGCTTCAAGTTGTGCAGCTCTGAGTAAAAGTGTAGATAATATAGTGTTACATATCATTTTGGCATTCAGCAAACCACTACTCTCACTTAACTTTTCTTGGAACAGCAATTTTATTAATATATCTATTTTTCTTTCAGTTCAAAGAGTTTAAAAATGAAGCCAAGGAAAGAAAATAATCTTACCAGATGTTGATAACAGTGTGGCCCACAAGGTTTATTATCTATTGTAGTTTCTGTATTTTTCCGTTTGTATGTGTTAGGAGTTGCATGGAATGCTACAGAGAATTTTAAAAGAAGCAAAATAAAACTGGCAAGTTTATCTAAGAGCGTCTTTGAAGTATAATAATGAGCCTTCACTTAATCGTCTTCTAAGGAGCATGAAACTATCTTAATGTAATAAATCATCAATACTCATGATGGAGCTACTTAGCAATATTGAAATAATACAGTGTGATGACTGCAAATTTCAGGTACAAATTCCTCCACTATGACTTTATTGTATTCCATTGTACAACAATTCTCTTTAATACCATGTTTCCCTGAAAATAAGACGTATCCGAAAAATAAGTCCTAGCCCGATTTTTACGTGTGTGCCTAATATAAGCCCTACCCTAAAAATAAGCCCTAGTTAAGACCCTGCCCTCTGGTTGCAAGAGGTGAGGCAAGGTGCACACGTAAAAATCAAGCTAGGGCAAGGGTGGGGGGTGGAGCTTGCCTCCCGAGCCGGACTGCCATGCTACGGAGGATGGGCCTTACTCGGTCCCCCTCCACCATTTCGGAGGCAGGGGGGAGTGATGGTGGTGGAGTAAGCAGCCTGAGGAAGAGGCAGAGGTGGAAAACTGCTGCAGGGTGCTCATTTTTACCCACCACCACCCAGGAACAAAACTTCTCAAGCAGCCCTGAAGAGCCTCGGTCGCCAGGGTCGCACTCACTTGCACGAAGCAGCAGCCCATGTGGGCTGCCTCCATCCAAGCCAGGAAAGGGAGAAAGGCAGCTTACGGTAACTTCCTTCGCCTCCCTGGGTGTCCTTAAGTCTTCCTTCCTTCCTTCCTTCCTTCCTTCCTTCCTTCCTTCCTTCCTTCCTTCCTTCCCGCAGCAATCGCTTTTCTGCATTTTCTTGCCGCCCTGCATTGGCCCGCATCTTCCTTCTCCATTCTGGAAATGGCAGCCCCGTTTTCTGCCGCTTTCCTCCTGGCAGAAGGTAGGAAAGGATGGATGTTTCGTATGGAAGGACGCTAAGCTCCGGGAAAACTACGCCAGCTGGAGCTGGGGGAGGAAGGCCAGGCTCCCCTTCCCTGATGGTTCTGCAAAGCCCTTGAGGAGTGGATCGGGGAAGGGGAGCCTGGCCTTCCTCACCCAGCTTCAGCTGGCGTAGTTTTCCCAGAGCTTAGCGTCCTTCCATACGAAACATCCTTCCTTTCCTACCTTCTGCCAGGAGGAAAACGGCAGAAAACGGGGCTGCCATTTCCAGAACGGAGAAGGGAGATGCAGGCTGATGCAGAGCGGCAAGAAAGTGCGGCAAGAAATTGCAGTGGCGGCGAGGGAGGGCTGGTGGAGGGATACCAAGGCTGGTGGAGGGAGACGGCAGGGGAGTCTTGCGCTCCAGGTCACGGCGCAAGCCATGGGAAAGTTGGAGGTGGTGGTGGCGGCTGCTGCCGGGCAGGTGAACTGTGGGGCGAAGCAGGGACAGCGGGCACTGAAGAAAGCCCCTCCAGCAGCAGATGCAGCTACTGCGCAGTGGCGGCAGAGCCTTTTGCTGTCACTCCATAGTATGGCAGTCCAGCTCGGGAGGAGAGTGAAAGGGAAGAGGCAGGGGGAGCTCACCGAGCAGGGAGTGGCTTGGGTGTGGGGGGCCTGAGGTAAGCGGGTGCGGGGCACGTGGGGTAGCTCCACCCCCCCCCCAAATAAGATATTCCTCAAAAATAAGCCCTAATGCATTTTTGGTGCAAAAAAAAATATAAGACCGGGTCTTATTTTCAGGGAAACACGGTAGTTTTACTACACTGACCTAATCTTTGCACAAAAATTCCACATATACTTTATAATAGGACAGCATTGGATATCTGTCTTTTTGTGAATAGAAGCTATACTTCATGATTATTAACTGAGAAATCAGCTAAACTAGTTTGGAGGTGCTATTAAAATTTGAACATCAACACTATTATCTTTCTAGACTGCCTTTCTAGAATAGTGGCATAGTTTTCTGATTATTTTGATCCATTCTGAATAATGTGAAAAAAATACGCTGCTGGAGAAGTAGTCTTTTAACTTCTATGCTCATTAAGAAATCCTGTAAATTGAAATACTGTGTCATGTAGATGACACTCAATTTTGTCTTTCTTTTTACTTCAATTCCAAGTTGCTAAAGACACACTGGCAACTGTGATGAACAGGACACAGCTAATCAACTACACAATTTGCTGGTTCCTCTGAGTTAGCTTTGCTTTTGTTTAAACTTCCTCAACCTGGCATCCTTCAGGTGTATGGTCTTTGATTTCTCATTATGCACTATTTTGCTGGCTTTTTTACTTACAAGAAGCACACAAAAAATAGCAATAGCACTTAGACTTACAGTATATACTGCTTCATAGTGCTTTACAACAGCCCTCTCTAAGTGGTTTATAGAGTCAGCATATTGCCCCCAACAATCTGGGTTCTCATTTTACCGACCTTGGAAGGATGGAAGGCTGAGTCAACCTTGAGCCGGTCAGGATCAAACTCCTGGCAGTCGGTGGAATTAGCCTACAATACTGCATTCATACATGTTTCATACATAGCAAAAATGAGATCACTGAAAAATGAAACTGAACACCAATCAAGTGGTCACCAACAAATAAATTGGCCACACAGATCAAAGAAGAAAGAGCATGAAAGTGAAAAACAAAAATCCATTATTTGGACTCTAGTGGTCATGCATATAAAGCAGGTGTAAACCAGCCAGATTGGAATATTTTAACTTTTTTCTCCTAATAAACATATTTAAAACTGTTTTTGCACTTACGATGTAAGAAGCAATCATATTTGAAACACCGTCTACAAAAGAGAGTATGAAAGGAATGTAGACTCTGCTCCCTCTGAACAGATTTGGCATTTGGTCCATCTATGTTTGGTGTGCACTCAAGAGGAAGAGCTCCTGGAAGCTGTTGTTCAGTAAGTTCCTTGTATCTAGAGAAAAAGTAAACATTACTTCTATTTTATATGATTAAAAAGTGGGTTTTATGGTACTTTTAGGAAATAGAGAGTATACCATCTCTTAATGCACACTAACATTACCAAGAAGCCACATTTTCAACATTCTAATCTAGATAAAACCAACAGGTTTTTGTAGGACATTACCAAAATATACTGAATTTGTGATGTTATACAAAAAAGTAAGACATTACCTTGATAATATGTCAGCATTGGCTATGAGCTTTTCCTACTGATAATAGGACAGTGACAATGAAATTGTAAATTGATTTAAACTTTGTCATTTGCAGGAATTTGTTGTATTTTTTCCTAAAACAAGTATGTTTAATTTAATTTCAAGATTGCTTTCCCTTGGTTTTAATTTCATTACCTAATGTCTTTAAGCTTTAAAAATATTAAAACATTTTAAAAATTTAAAAGCAAGGGTTTGCTTTTAAATTAAAAGCAAGTTTGGTTTCAAGCTTAAGCTGTAAATTCTCAATGAAATAAGGCAGCATTTATTATGTATTTCTTGGTTTTATAGCCCACCTTTCCCCCAAGAGTTCAAAGGAGCTCCATGGGAATCTCAATTTTATTCCAACAGCAATCCTATGAGGTACATTAGGTTAAGAGAGAATGTTTCACTCTTAAGTCTCCCAGTGAGTTTCAATAGCTAAGAATAGAACTGAAGTCTTAATATTATCACTACAGGTAGTCCTTGACTTATGACCATTCATTTAGTGACTATTCAATTTACAACAGCACTGAAAATGTGCCTTACGACCAGTCCTTGCACTTACAAATGTTGCAGTGTGCCCAGTCATGTTATTGCAATCCGGGTGCTTGGCAACCAGCTCACACTTACAATCATTGCAGCACCCTACAGTCAGGTGATTGCCATCTGTGACCATCCCAGTCAGTTTCCGTCAAGCAAAGTCAATTGGGAAGCCAACAGGGAAGGTTGCAAGTAGCGGTCATGTGATACTACTTAATAAACTTACTTCCGGCTGTAGAACATGGCGGACCTGCCTGGGTTGGTCCCTTGAGGGACGGAGGAGACGGAGCCCGCAGCGGAGGACGGGGGGCCTCCTGAGAGCCGGTGACTCGGGGCTGGGATGCCGAGAGTGCGAGGGTTTCGCTGGCGGACGGTGCTGGAGGGTGCCGAGGGCGCTGGAGGGTGCCGAGAGCGCTGAGCCCG